ACCTATTTACCAGCACAATACTCAAATAGAAACTATAAACTTTGAAAGTAGTACTGATAAAAAGATAGAAGAAATTAGAAAAAATTTAGAGCAATTAACCTTAAAAAAATCTTCCTTAAATGTCATAGAAGACCTTTCCCTTAAAAAGATAAAAACCTATCCCAAGCTTAAAACATATTATCCGAGACCTTCTCTTGCTGATGTTCTTTATGAAGAACGAGAAGATCTAGTTCAAAATAGTTATTCAGGCAGTGACTTATGTGAATGGAATATAGATGGTATGAGTGAACAAGGAATATTAGATTTTATTTGTCAAATGACTATGGTAGCTAGTGCTTATAAAAGGAGAGGAAATTAAGATAAAGCAACAGCTATAACTCTTGTCCAAGGATTTACAGGGCAATTGAAAGAATGGTGGGATAATTTTTGCACTCCCTCTGATAGAGAAACAATATTAGGAGCCATGAAAAATGAAAATGAAGAAGATGTTGTAGCAACTCTTATCTACACTATTAATCAACATTTTGTAGGAGATCCAAATATTTTTAAAGATAGAGTTGTGAAGTAATGAGTAATGGATATATTACCTTGTTTCAGTGAGTAAATTTCCTCAAGCAATTCAGAGATTCTAAAGACATCACCTTGGTAGTACTGTTTCTTGAGATCATTCCATATTTGAGAAGATGTTGGCATCCAAATTACACTCAGAATTAGGGATGCATCCAACGATTGTACGATCTAGGAAATAACCAACTTGTTGCAACGATCCCAAGTTGTTTGATTCACTCGCAAGTCGAGTAAGAGATCCATTGATGAATGCGAGTTTGTTCTTGGTTCTGAGAACTAGCAACATAGATTGCGACCAAGAAAGATAATTGTTATCATTTAGAGGTGCAGAAACCAAAACTTATCGAAGGATTTTCATTGGAAGGAAGAAAATATGGACTGAGAGGATCGAGGAGAGGATTTGTTTGAATAGTCATGATTGAGTATGATTAAAAAAAAAGAATGAATGGAAGAAATAGAGAAGAAAAGGAACAAGATAAATGATCAAAATTTTGATGAAAAAAAAATAGGAACAAATCAAGAAATCAAATTTTCAATGATGGAAAACGGAAGAAGGTGGAGCAAAAAACACAAAACCCCAACACAGGCTAATACCATATTACAATTCTGATAAAGAAATCACCATGAAAATGTTATGAAAGAGAACTTCATTGAAAGAGAAGTACAAAGAATGTGGAATCAAGAATTGTATATTATATTCTGATCAACAATGATCAATTACAAGTATATATAGTTGCTATAATACAAGAGAAAACAAACTATAATAAGAAAAACAGACTAACTAACCTCCTAACTTCCTAATTGAATTAAAAAATACAAATGAAAAACAAAATAAGTTAAGTCATCGTGACAGTATGTAAGACAAATAACAACTGCATTTAATAAGTACACCTTTTATTAACTTGAGCGTCAGAGTCTTTTACAAACATCCCCTACTTCGGACTACTAAGATTAATAAGTAGTGTGTCTCCATATACAAGGACTCTTGTAAATATTTTGATACTGAGTTTTATTATCATTTATTAAAAAATAAATTAATTCTTAGAAATATTCAGACGTATTTAAAAAATTGAGAATTTCAACAAAGTTTTTTTATACATACCAACTCTGAGATCGAATTAGTTTTTTTTTTTTTTTTTTTAAGATCTGATGAGGATGGGAAGAATAGACCCTTTGTTGGAGTAGCTTTCACATATCTAAGCACTTTCCGAGCAGCTTGAAAATGTGCATTGTTTGGTTGGTGCATGAATTGACTTAATTTTCCAACAGCAAAGGCCAAATCAGGTCTTGTGTGGGTTAAGTAAATCAATCTGCCAACTAGTCTTCTATATGATGATGGATCTGAATAGAGATCAAGTGGATCATGGTGAAGCCTAGTTGTGTGATCCATTGGAGTAGAACATGGTTTGGATGCTAATAGTCCTGTATCTTGCAACAACTCAAGGGCATACTTTCTCTGGCAAACAGAAATGCCTTGATCTGATCTAGAAAACTCAAGACCAAGAAAGTAGCTCAATTGGCCAAGATCCTTGATACTAAATTGTTTGTCCAGAAGCCTCTTTACCTTCATAATCTCTGTTTCATCACTACCTGAAATAATCAAGTCATCAACATACACAAGGATGGCTATAAAACCGATATTAGTTCTTTTAGTAAACAATGAATAATCTGACTTTGACTGAACAAAGCCAAACAGTTTGAGTGTCTCAGTGAGTTTAATGTTCCATTGTCTACTGACTTGTTTGAGACCATAAAGAGATTTTTGCAATTTGCATACTTTGTTAGGAGAAGATAAGATAAGGCCAGGAGGTGGTTTCATATAAACTTCTTCTACTAAGTCACCATGTAAGAAAGCAGTGTTAATATCTAGTTGATGTACTGACCAATTAGAAGCAGCAGCTATAGCCAAAAAAACTCTAATAGTGGTCATTCTTACTACAGGACTAAAAGTGTCAATGTAATCCAAACCTGGTATTTGTGTAAAACCTTTGGCTACTAGTCTAGCCTTATATCTTTCAACTGATCCATCAGCATGATATTTCACCTTAAATACCCATCTACAACCAACAGCCCTTTTATTAGGAGGAAGATCAGTTAATATCCAGGTTTTCTGTTTATCTAAAGCATCTAATTCTGCTCTAATAGCTTCCTTCCAGCAATCATGATTAATAGCATCTTGATAAGACCTCGGTTCAATGATTGAAGAAATAGTTGAAACAAAAGACTGTTGAACTGCAGAATAAGATGTATAGGGAAGGTAATCAGAGATAGGATACCTGGCTGTAGATGATGATTGGTCAACTTTTGAAGCTGCAAGAGTGCAATGGTAGTCCTGCAAATATCCTGGTCTGTTTTTGACTCTTTGAGATGTTCTTCTAATTTCAGGGATATTAATTTCAATGTTAGGTTGATCACTATTGCTGGAATTTGTCATAGGTAAAGTTGAAGAATTATGTTCATGTTCAGTTTCATCAAGATTATCATGAGTATGACTAGGAATAGGGTCACAACTAGTTAAAGGCATTTGTGCTATAGGTACAACAGGACCATCAGTAGATTGAATTGAAAAATCCTTTTGTAGTGGAAAAATATTCTCATAAAATTGTACATCTCTAGAAATGAAAGTCTCTCTTGTTTTTAAATCATACATAATAAATCCTTTTGTGCCTGAACTGTATCCAAGAAACATACATTTTCTTGATCTAGGTTCAAGTTTGGTTCTATTATGAGATAAAGTAGAAGCAAAAGCCAAACAACCAAAGACCTTCAAATGTGAGAAATCAGGTTTTTCTGAATAAAGCACATAATAAGGAGAATTTTGTTGCAAAAATCTAGTAGGTAGTCTATTAATTAAGTGGACAGCATGTCCAATAGCATAATTCCAAAACATTTTGCTTACATTTGATTGAAACATAAGTGCTCTAGCCATACTTAAAATATGTTGATGTTTTCTCTCGACTACTCCATTTTGTTGTGGTGTATTTACACAAGAGGTTTGATGCACAATTCCCAATTTAGCATACCAATCTTTTAAAAGAAATTCTGAGCCATTATCAGTTCTTATAGTTTTAATGTTTTGCTGAAACTGAGTTTGAACAAAAGAGACAAAGTTCTGCAACAATAACTTGGTTTCAAACTTATTTTTCATGAAAAATATCCAAGTGAATCTAGATTTGTCGTCTACTATAGTTAGGAAGTATTTGTGACCAAAAATAGAAGCTACAGATAAAGGTCCCCAAATGTCTACATGAATTAAATCAAACACATTTTCAGATTTGGTTAAGCTATCTGGAAAAGGTAATCTTTTGTGCTTAGCAAGATGACAAATTTCACAAGGCAAAGAAATTTTATTGCATTGAATTTCAGGATAAGATCCCTTGAGAGTAGAAAGTTTGTCATGTGATAAATGTCCTAGTCTCAATTGCCATAAATATGATTTGTAAGTAAAAAAAATGACTTGTACAGTGATGAACAACATTTGACTCAGGTGAGGAAACCATTGCATACAATCCTGCCCGCAACTCAGCTGCAATAATCATCCTCATGGAGTGATTTGCTTGAATCTAACAATCAGAATCAGAAAAGGTAAGTGTGCAGGATAGAGTTTTAGCAAGCTTGGAGACCGAAATAAGATTAAAATGAAAGTTAGAAATAAATAAAACATCCATTCGGTAACATGTTTTGGATAGCAGAACAGTTCTAGATACACAAGTACTAACTTGTGATCCATTTGGAAGTTGGATCAGTATAGGCTTGATTCTTCTATAGGATTAAAAAAATTTGATGTTTTTACAAACGTGATCTGTGGCTCCAGTATCTATGATCCAGCAATCACTATTATGAGAATAAGGTAAAGATAGAATCATACCTGATGGCTTAGGAGAAGAAATGATAGAAGGACCTACAAGTTAATTCACAGAGTGACTGGGTGTGCTACCTGATTTTGAAGAAGGGCTAGAAGGGCTTGATGTCATTCTGGAGTAAACATGTTCCCTGAATTATGGGAGACTACTCTCTGAGATTGGACAGATTGATCATCATCAGTATCCTCATCAGAAACTGATTGGTACTGGTTCACAATTCTGCCATGCTTGTGGTGTAGTGGAGGACCATGTTTCTTATATCATGAATCAACTAGATGACCAATCCTCCCACAATGAGAACATACCTTTGTGTTGTAGTCTTTGTTTCTTTTAAATGTTTTGGATCCTTTATAGTTGTTCCTTTCATTATTAGAAGTCACTACCAATACCTGATTATCATTGGTACCATGGAATTCTCTTTCTTGTTGTAAGAGCATGGAGAAAACCTTTTGCACCGATGGAAAAGAGTCCATCAACATTACTTGAGATCTTACATTGGAATACTGCTCATTCAATCCTTTAAGAAACCTTATGACACATTCTCTTTCCCTGTATGACTGAATAGTAGGGATGAGATCACAAGAACAAGTAACAGTGCAAGTGCATGAAGGTATAGGACATAAATGATCTAATTCTTACCATAGTCCTTGTAAGGTTGTGAAGTAATGAGTAATGGATATATTACCTTGTTTCAGTGAGTAAATTTCCTCAAGCAATTCAGAGATTCTAAAGACATCACCTTGGTAGTACTGTTTCTTGAGATCATTCCATATTTGAGAAGATGTTGGCATCCAAATTACACTCAGAATTAGGGATGCATCCAACGATTGTACGATCTAGGAAATAACCAACTTGTTGCAACGATCCCAAGTTGTTTGATTCACTCGCAAGTCGAGTAAGAGATCCATTGATGAATGCGAGTTTGTTCTTGGTTCTGAGAACTAGCAACATAGATTGCGACCAAGAAAGATAATTGTTATCATTTAGAGGTGCAGAAACCAAAACTTATCGAAGGATTTTCATTGGAAGGAAGAAAATATGGACTGAGAGGATCGAGGAGAGGATTTGTTTGAATAGTCATGATTGAGTATGATTAAAAAAAAAGAATGAATGGAAGGAATAAGTCAACTAGCAAATCTATATTTCCCAACAATGTGTCATTATAGGTGGTATAAAGATGTTTTTATGTCAAAAATTACTCTTAGAGAAGATGGATTTCATGGATTTTGGATAGAAAGATTTATTGCAGGATTGCCAAAATTATTTTCTGAAAAGGTAAAATCAAAGTTAGAAACCTATTTTGGTAACCCAATACCCTATCCATCTTTAACCTACGGACAAATTCATAGCATAGTAATTGAAACTGGTATTCAAGTTTGCAATGATTTCAAACTTCAGAATAAACTTAGAAAAGAAAGTACCACCAATAGGAAAGAGATAGGAAACTTTTGCCAACAATATGGAGTAGAAACTGTTAGAGCACCAAGTACCCAACATAAAAAACAGAATAAGAAAAGAATAAATTTTCAAAAGAATCAATACAAGCCTTATAAAAAATTCAATAGGTACCCCAAAAAGAAAGATGAGCCACAAGGAGAATCAAAACAAAAATAAAAAGAAAGTATAATAATAATAATAAGAATAATAAAAAGAATATAACTTGTTGGAAATGTGGAAGAGCAGGTCATTTTTCTAATAAATGTAGAGTTCAACAAAAGATTAATGAATTAGAACTAGACGAGTCAGTTAAGAAAATTCTTTTAAACGTATTAATAAATTCCGATCCCGAAGAGGAAGATGACAGTTTATCTTCATCTTTAGACGAAGAAGAAAGCAATATTGAAGAAATGATTTATCAATTAGAAGAAGAAACTTCTAGTAGCATAAACGATGTTGAAAATGATTATTGTTTAGGACCAGAATTATGTACTTGTAATAATTGTAAATCTATTAATATGTTATCTTCTGAACAAACTACAACTTTATTAGAAATAATTCAAAAACTAGAAGATGGCCCATTAAAAGATGAGTTTATTAGTCAATTAGATAAATTAGTTAAAAAATATAAAAGAGAACAAGAGGTAATTCAAGAGATAGATTTAAAGGAAATATATAATAGATTTAGAAAACCTGGTCCAATAACAATAAAAGATTTACAAGAAGAAATAAAAATTTTAAAACAAGAAATACAAGAATTAAAACAAAATGATATTGCCTTAGAATATAGAATTTTAGAACTAGAAGGTCTTGATAAATTTAAGTTACAAGAAAATTATAAACCAGTTAATGAAGAAGCCTCAACCTCACATATGAATTATTTAAATTTAATACCTGTTCATAAATGGCATTGTAAGATTAGGTTAATAATAGGCTAAGAAGAGTTTAATTTAATAGCCTTAATAGATTCAGGAGCTGATATTAATTTTTTGCAAGAAGGTTTAATACCCTCAAGATACTATGCAAAAACCAAAGAAAAGGTAGTTAGTGCAAATAATTCAAGAATGAAGATTAATTATAAACTTTCTTTGGCCAAGATATGCACTAATAAAATCTGTTATGAAACCTCTTTTGTATTAATAAAAGACATGAATATACAATGTATTTTAGGAACTCCTTTTTTATCCTTATTATATCCTTTTAGTGTAACCACAAAAGGATTAGAAACAAAAGTATTAGGTAATATTATATGTTTTAAATTTATTAATCCTCCTAGATCAAGAGAATTAAATCTTTTAAAAGAACATTCTACTAGTATTATTAATAACAAGAAAAAACATATAAACTCTTTAAATAAAGAAATTCAATACAAAAGAATAGAAGAACAATTACAACATAAAAATATTCAAAAAATTATTAAAGAATTTCAAGAAAAAATAGAAAAAGAAATTTGTGATTTAAATCCCACGGCCTTTTGGCACCGTAAAAAATATGAGATATGTGACACCCTCTACCCCAACATATAATAATAATAATAATAATAATAATAATAATAATAATAATAATAATAATAATAAAAA